GTTGTCTGTATGGCTTTTGATAATTCACTTAACCCGTTTTGTGTCTCAGTATTATCACTGGAAGTACCAGAGACCTGCCAAAAGAATAAACAGATCTGTCTCGAAAGAAACGCCATCAGAATGCTCCTGAGAAGCAAGATGCTGAGACTTCAACTCACACCCTTTGACTATGTTATCAGATGACACCACTCCCTGGAGAAGGACCTCATGCTTGGTAAAGGAGAAGGACCCTGAAAAATAAGAACTTCACCAATCTGATTGACACAATGGGATGCAACGTGAGCTAAATCATAACAATTGTGACGATGGCACAAGAGGAGGTAGCATTCCATTCTGTTGTACGTTGGGTCTCGATAGGTTGAAACTGACTTGACGACATCTAACAACGACACCATCACCATCAGTCAAACAAACCCGACAGCGGAACCTACTTTGTACAGTTGTTATGAGGATTGAATGGACTACGTGGGAAAGCTAGCATATCATGTTCGATAAATGTTTTATATTACTTCCTGGCACAAAAAAATTACCATGGATTACTTTAAATATTTGTCCACCAAAAAAAATCACTGACTTCCTTAAATTCATTCACTTATGAACCAATGAATGAACCATGTGCAGTTGATAGCTTTTAGGGACCAGGTTTAATAAATTGGCACATTTAAACATATTTCATGTTATTTATGCAACACATCACTTGTGGTCAAGAATATTTGGTTAGGTAGAAAGGACAGCACTGCCACAAAGTAAATATGAGTTTATTTGCACAATCCATCTATCATATATATTCATGTAAAATTTGCAACTAGAATAATCTGTCATCAAATGGATTATCTGGCTCTATAAGTAATGGGAATTAGGAATTAATTTACTTCTCTTTCTCTTTTTAAGTTATGAGTTCAAAATAAATAAATAAAATTTTTTTTTAAAGTATGAGTTCAAAAATAAAATCAGAATGATGTTAATTTATTATACGGACTAAGGAATTATGGAATTATGGAATACTACTCCACATTATAGGAGTTATTAAAACAGGTTTATCAATATGGTGTTTTGTTTTGCTTTTAGTTTTGTTTTTCCAAGATAAATTGCTATTTGTTTCCTGTTTAGATTCGCACACTTTGGGATTGCCATTAGTGAAAAGAGCAAACATATATGAGATACACTGCAACACAATGGGGTTATGTGCTAAAGTCCAGTGCAAGCCAGATAAATGAGCAAAATATCAGTTCAATCAGTTATATCTTAATAACATCTCATTAGACCAATGATTGCTTTAACTTTACCAATGACTAGCAAAAGATCAAATGAAAAGGTTTTTCTAAAACTACTTAGATGTCTTTTATTTATTTTGTTAACCATGTGTAAAAATCAAGACTTTTTTGTTGCTTTGCCTACCTATATAAGATAAGCATGGGAAGCAAGCCCCAGGGATGAAGGGTGAACTGATCACAATGATTGACACATGACACTGCCCCCCACCCAGGGCAATGAACAATGAGAATGTGGGTGAAGGGAGACAGCGGTTAGTATAAGATATGAAAACACTAATAATTTATAATTTATCAAGGAGTCACAAGGGTGGGAGGGTAAAAAAGAGGAGCTGTTACCAAGGGCTCAAAAAGAAAGCAAATGTTTAGAAAATGATGAAGGCAACATATATACATATGTGCTTGATACAATTGATGTATGGATTGTTATAAGAGCTGTAAGAGCCCCAATAAAATGATTTTTAATTATAAAATTAACTGAAAATAAAGAGCTTTTCGAGATAGAATTTGAAAATTGCTTAAGACCATCCAATTTAAAATAACATGTTATGCACATGGGTTTCCTCCTATTAATGCATCCTAAGTCGGGATTTAAATATAAGCCCTAACCATGTTATGTTATAGAACCTATACTTAAATATTACATATTGGGTCATAAGCATCGTTTTGAATACATGGGGATTCATTCACAAAAACTAAATATATTATTTATTATGTTTACACACATTTTCCATTATCAAGAGATTTGGGGGGGGGGGTATAACCTGCTGTGATTTTTTATCTTAAATTGCATTCTTAAGGATTTACAGTTTAGAACAGGAGTTGAAAATTGACAAAGGGCTAGATTCTGATCACAGATAGGTTTTGTTTTTTCTGCATATTGTTATCTTCGACTTGTTGTTTAAATTGAATAAGTTACCAGCATTTAAGAATTGGGGGATATGGATTTCCAGTTTCTTTTAAAATGTAGGATATTAGCAATATTGGGTCTACGTTCCCAAGTGGTAGCCATCAGATGAGCTGAGCAATAACCACCAACTTTAGAAAGAATACATATTCTCTAGTTGACTGTAGCTCCTCCACCACCACTCTCTATTTATTTTGATTTACTTTATCAGCTTTAACTCAGAAGGCATTAGAGTTTGCAACTGTCCTAGTTTCTCTGTAGCTTATGTGAGTGAATCAGTGCAGACACTCACAATAATCATGAAACTTTCTCAGATAGCAGTAAATATATAACCCATTTCACACACACACACACACACACACACAATGAGGTTCGTTCCAAAATGTGTGTGTGTGGGGAACAGAAATTATGGAATTTTTCTACAAACTTTTTGAAGGCTCTTTATAGGGTCACAAGGAAGAGACCAGCCAATCAGTGTGCAGTATAGCACTGATAAAACATAAAAGTTTCCTCTTGTTCTTTAATGCATCCCCACACACTATCATGACCCCAAATCTACATTAAAAACCCGACCAGACCAGAGCATGTACACTGGTATGGATAAGAGCTTGCAACACAGTGAATCCAGGACAGATAAACACCTCAGGCCCAATAATGAGAGTAGTGATACCAGAAGGGTAGGAGGAAGGTGGGAATGGAAGGGGGAACTGATCACAATTATGGACATATAACCCATTCCCCCAAGGCGGACGAACAACAGAAATGTGGGTGAAAGGAGACAGTGGTAAGTGTAAGACAGGGGGGAAAAAACTATAAATTATCAAGGGTTCATGAGAAAGGGAGGGGGGAGGAGGGAGGGAAAAAAATGAGGAGCTGATACCAAAGACTCAAGTAGAAAGAAAATATTTTGAAAATGATGATGGAAACATATGTAGAAATGTGCTTGACACAATGGGCATATGGATGTATGGATTGTGATAACAGCTGTAAAAGCCCCCAATAAAAGGATTTTTTTAAATGAAGAAAATGATCTAAAATTGATTGTGGTAAAAAGAATCCATTCAAGAGGATGACTTTGCTATTAAACCTACTAATAAAAATGTGTGTTCTTATAAGAAATAAATCTATTGTTATAAGCTATATGTTTAATTAAAAAATAAGTTGATGTCTATATGCCATGGTATGGAAAATTTACACAAAAGCCACTTTCAAATGCTGAATTAAACTGCATTCATATAAAATAAAAAACACTTTCAATATCCCAAATCCAGAATCAAACTCACCATTTACAGTTTTTCGGTTAAGCCCATGCATTCGTAGATCACATAGATTTTAAGCTCCCCAGCATTAATATCATCATCAGCTAGAAAGTTTGGCCTTAAGGAGGTACATCCACTGCTTCAGATCACTTACATGTTATTTAGTGTGCATGATATTTGAGACTTATTTCAATACAAAAAATACCCCAGATATCTGAAACACAACCATCATGCTTTTCATTTTCTATGTTGAAAACAGTATAAACGACATGGGGTGGCCAACATCTTCCCCAAAGTCCTATGACATTTTTCCTTGTGGAAAATGTTAGATAAAACATGTATCAACAACAACAACAAAAAAATATGCATCAAGAGCACCTCTGAACCTAAGGTCTGTGGGAACATGTCAGGGTGACAATAGCTCCCGGGTTGTTTCCCAGGATTCCAATGACATTGCACTCACTGGCCTGTGACCTTCCTACATCCCGCTTCACCATTCTGCATCATCCGACTTCCACTCCGTGAGTCTGAAAAGGGCCCCGCTAATATCAGACTTATGGACTTGAGTTGGCCTGGGCTGGGCTGGGTGCCTTCTTGATATAAAGCTCTTTCTTATACATGAAAAAGAGCACCTCTGACGAAGGAGGGGGGAAGTCACCAAAGGGGTGACTTAACCAAGAAAGGTGTGGGGAAAATAAGCGAGACACGAATACCAGGAAATGCCAAAACTTACTTTAGTATCATGGGCTGCCTTTCTTTGAGGTCCATGCCCATCATTTGCCCCATCACAGCCAAAAAAGTATGAAGACTGAAGCAATACGCACCTCTGAGTGCAAATTAACTAATACTTTCGTCTGTATTTTAGAGGTTTCAGTTGTACAACTTCTTAGATTTTCAAGTAAGAATAAATATGGAATTTTAGAATAAAAAAGAACTACCAAATAATGTTTGGACAACATACCTCATAAATATGTCTGAAACGATTGTGTAAAATAGCTTCAGATTTGTAGTTATCTGTCCCAATATTACTGTAGCACACTTAATAACTTACACTGCTCTGCAAAGCTCAATGTACCTTCAGTAGCATTTCGAGGCAAGAAACAGGTTATCTGAATAACATTCCCATTAGATTACATAGATGTCATGGTTTTTGTGAGTGACCCTTACTCAACTGCCACTCACTTGGCAATCTTTCTTTAAATTCTATTTTAGTCCCAAAGAGGAAGGCATCTTCCCACTTCATGATCTTGGGATTTTTTTCCCAGTTAATAGGTATAAACTATTTCTAATTGGCAATAGTGAAACCATTAAGTCCCCACTCAACTCAAACTCTCAGGTAGGTAGTTCTACTCAGATGTCCAGGTCTAATGAGCTGTATGGATATTATTAATAATTACAGATAAAGCAATAGCATTTGCTTATGAAAATACAAATGATTCTATTGTTTGACCTTCATAAAGGCAACACAGGATATAAAATCATTGAAGTCTTGCTGAAATTGTACAGGTTTCAGGATATTCCCGGGAAGTTGATTTTTTTTTAAGAAAATAAATACATAAATACCTGTTAACAGCTTGTTTTCTTGTCATTTGCCTCTTCCTTCTAAAAGGAGAGTGTAGCAAAAAATAAATGAATAAAACTGGTTAATTGAGAGTTCTTGTTAATTATCATCCAATTAATCAAGGCTTTATTATATTTCTTACACACACACAAATTCAGAAAAAAATTTAGATAAGCTACACAAAATGAAACACTAGCTGGGAAGAGCTCAAAGAAGTAAAAAAAAAACCCTAAATTGCTATTAGTGTATTAAACACACATTTCTGGCCTAGTCCCCATTGAGTAAAGAGTAATGTAAAAATGTCATGTGGTTCAGGGTTTTTCTATAAATGAAGGTAAGGAAATAAGGTTATAGATTTCTATTGAATAAAATGGCTTCAGGTCATAACAATCCCAAATACAGACTCAGCAATATTATATCCTTGCTGCTTCTCTCAAGAGCCTTCCTTCCCATCCCATTGGTTATTCCAATATTGGGTTGGGGAGCAAATGTTCCCTTTGAGTCCCTTTTTTCCAAATTTTTATATAGCAAATAAGATGATGAAAGCAAGCCAATATCAATGTCTAAGCATAATTTCTTAAAAATAGAGCCATTAATCACACAATTCATGACACACTTATTCCTAAAGAAAACTGGACTATATTATCTTTCCCACAAGAATTATGCATGTACTCATGCATACATACGCAGACATACATACACGCATAGAATCACAGACATATTCACATTTGGGAAATTAAACTTATAAAATAATCACTAAAGCTCTACATAATTAGCTTAACTAACAAATGGCGCTTTTTCCCCCCAGTAGAATATTATTAGCCAGCATTCCAAAATCCTTTAGTGTAGACAAACAAATCTAAAATTATGTGCTAAACATGGATGTTCTTGTTAGGTGTCAGGGAGCAGGCTACAATTCATAGTGGGCAAATGTACAATGTGAAATGAACAAAGTGTCCAGGCCTGAGTCATCCTCATAAATGTTCTGCTATCTGAACTCATTTTTGAAGCCATTATATCAATCCACCTTCTTGATGATCTTCCTGGTTTTTGAAGACCTACTTTATCAAGCATATCGTCCTCTCCCAAGGACTTGAGACAAAAGCTTGCCATCTTCACTCCTAAGGAGCATTATTTCTGTACTTCTTCCGAGATTCATTTGTTTGTTCTTCTGGACGTACATTGTACTTTCGATACTCTTTTCCAACCCCATAATTCAAATCCATCAACCCTTCTATGGTCTGCCTTTTTTACTGTCAAACTTTATCCACAGAAATGCTGATTGAAAATACTATAGCTTGAGTCAGACACATGTTAGACCTCAAAGAGACATCCTTATACTTCAACATTTTAAATGGCTCTTGTGTAATACTTTTCATTTTTAATTAATTAATTAATTATTGTTCCATGGGTATTTATTATGGATCCAAGCAAAATAACTTCCTGACAATTTTGTTCTTTTCTCTGCTTATCATTACATTATCTGTTGGTCCAATTGCGAACATTTTGCTTTTCTTTTGATCGAGCTGAAATCCACACTGAAGGCCATAGTTTTTTATCTTCATCAGCAAGTGTTTCAAGTTCTCCTCATTTTCAACAAGCAAGATTATGATATCTGAATATACAGGATTGTTAATAAACTTTTCTCCAATTCTCATGCTGGTTTCTGCTTCATATAGTCCTGATTCTCAAATTATTTGCTCAGCATAGAGTTTGAATAAGTATAGTAAAATGATACGGCACTGACACACCATTCCAATTTTAAACCATGAAGTATTCCCTTGTTGGGTTTGAAGAGTTTCTTGGTTTATGGACAGGTTCCACATAGGCACAGCGAATTGTTCTGGAATTCACATTCTTCTCAGTGATATCCATAGTGTGTTAGGAACCACACAATCAAACTATTTTGCATAGGCAATGAAACCCAAGTAAACATGTTTCTAATATCTCATGCTTTCAGCCAAGATCTATCTGATGTCAGCAATGATATTCCTTGTGCCACATCTTCTTCTGAATATAACTTCAATTTGTTCTAGCTTTCTGTTGATGTACTGCTGAAACTGTTGTTGACTGATATTCAGCAAAATTTTACATGTGATATTAATGATATTGCTCCTTAATTCCCACATTCTGTTGGGTCACGTCTTAGGAATAGGTATAAATTAGGATCTCTTCCATTTTTAGAAGTACCTCCTTTCCTACTTAAACATAGGCCAAAAGATGTATAAATAAATAAAAACACAAGCATAAATCTGGAAGTGAAGATGGGGTTTTCTCACTCTTTGGTTTCATTCCTTTATTCTCTCTTTTAACTATTTAATATTCCTTTATAGTTTACTTACGCAACCTGCCTTAAAGATTACACTTTTTAAATATAACCTCTGTCCACACCAACCAAGTCCTTAACCCAGTGATCTTTGTATCTGGAGTTCATTTTGCCTCTTTTGTTAAAAAATTAAGCTTTTAAAACTGAACAGAATTATGTTGTCTACCACAGCCTTTATGCAATTATACTATGCTAAACAAATCATTTACAATTTCTATAAAATAGATTTAATAGTTTATTTATATTTAGAATGGGAAATTACTTACTGAATCATTCTTGCTAGAATTATTATATACGTTATATACGTTAATGTCTCTGAGTTAACAATTCGTTATTTTATTAAGAATGTGAAACCTTACAAAATTAGAAATTTAGCTTGAATTTTGCAATTTTCTCATTTACATGTTATATATTCTTGTCTAACATGAGGAATGTATTTTGTAGTTCTAACACTAACAAAATCTCTAAGACTTTATGTACTACAAGTAAAAATACATTTTATTTTAACATTTTACCTAAAATATTGCTTCTGTACTTCTAAATTTGTTCCTTTTGTGATGTCAATTAATTTAATTTATACTTCCTTGCACACATTTTGTCAAATTTTCAATACTTTGGAAACTTTATTTAACATTGTCAGTATAGAAAAGCTCATTATAAAAAAAAATCACCTTTGTTGACTGAGACATCCTAGAGCAGCGGTTCTCAGTGTGTGGGTCGTGATCCCTTCGGGGTCGCCCGATTCATAACAGTAACAAAATGACAGTGATGACAGTGATGAAGTAGCAACAAAAACAATGTTTTGGTTGGGAGGTCACCACAGCGTGAGGAACTGTATTAAAAGGTGGCGGCATTAGGAAGGTTGAGAACCACTGGCCAAGAGTGTTTCCTTTCACCTCGTATGCTTCATTGTATCCTGAGGTTTCTTTTGTGCTGCCCCTCTCCACTTCTGAATCTAGCTATGAATAAAGTTCTTGAATGTCGCCAAAATTTCCCTTTGTGACTGAAATAAGACATATACTGCGTTCTTATGACTCCATTGACAAAAAAGTTACTCATACTCAAAAATATTAGGACAGATGCTACCCTTAATATGCCACTATTAAGCCAGGTTCCATGGAGCCCTGGTAACATAGTGGTAACTTACTAGGCTGTCAACTACATAGTACTCCAGTAAGTCATTTGAACCCACCAGCTGCCCTGAAGGAGAAAAACAAGATTGTGTGCTCCAAGAAAGATGTTAAACCTTGGAAATCTAAAGAAGAAGTTCTACTCTGTCCTGTGGGGTAGCTATGATTAAAATCCACTCATTGGCAGTGAGAGATTTCATTTGTTTTTAGAAGCAAAGTCCAACAAATTGTGGTTATAAGTAGGAAAGATTCTCTATCCAGCCTACCAGCTCCATTTGTCATTATAGTTGCACTGCAGTAGAATATTAACCTTGCTAGAGGGACCTACAAGTAGTGATTTTAGAAGGTGATCTTATTCTGGCTCAGACTGGAGAACTGAGTAATTAAGAGCAGCTTGTATTTTGAATTCATCAAGAAGATCATTTTACCTAGTATCTAAGTAAGTTTTCATATGTCCATTCTTCCACCTTTCATTGTGTGAATGTAAGGTTCACCCAAATTAAAAGCAATGATTCCTCTTCAGCATACCACCCTTCCCTGATTAATATAAATTTATTTAAATAATCAAAGATATGGAATTTTCCAATTAGAAACCTAAATTAGGGCCATGGAATCTAATTTAATAATGTAGAGAAACCATGTACTATCAAAAACACAAGAGGCTATAAAATATCCCAATGTGAAGAGAGCAATTAAGCATCCATAGCCTCACTGAATTTAAATATTTTCATCCTTTTGAAGATAAATTTTAAAATTCTAAAGAAACTGTGAAATGTAAGTGAGTAGTAGAAGGAGCCCTGGTGATATAGTGGTTACAAGTGGGCTGCTAACCATAAGGTCAGCAGTTCACTGTGCAGAAGGAAGACAGGCCTTTCTACTCCTGTAATGCGCTAGTCTCAGAAATTCACAGGGGTGGTACCGCCCTGTCCTATAGGGTCACTTTGAGTCTGTACCAACTTGATGGAAGTGAGTTTGGTTTGGAGAGGTTGGAGTATAAGGAAAGGGCAGAGGAAACAAGTCCCCTCCTCCTCACTAATAAGTATCTGTTTTTTCTCCTATGTGATATGTCACTCACTCACTCACTCACTCACTCACTCACTCACTCACTGTCATTGAGTCCATTCTGACTCATATAGGACAAGGTAGAACTGCCCCTGTGAATTTCTGAGACTGTAACTCTTTCCTGGACTAGAAAGTCCTTTCTGCCGAGGTGCAGATAGCAGATCACAGCCCAATGTGTAACCACTACGCCACCAGGACCCCTATGTGATATATTGATGGCCTCAATTATTCTAGTTGACTCCTTACCACCTGTCATTTAAGACATGAGGAAATTGCTTGGGAGATATTAAATTATTGGATCTAGGTCATATGGTAGGCTATTAATAGAAGTATCCTGACTCCAAGTTCACAGCTATTTTCCCAAAATGTATTTCTTTGCTTCCACCATTATGCTGGGAAATGACTCTTTGAACTCTCCTCAGAGATTTTCATATCTATTTTTCCTCATGGAAACATAATAATGTCAATAGGCATATTACACATTTAGCTCATAAATGACACAATGCCAGATTCTTGAGTCCCT